TTCGGAATGGATCAAATGGTTTTTGAATGGTAGACTCCTGAATATGATGTTTTTTCCCGAAATTTACATAGAGAAAGAAGAACACATCGCCGGTGCAAAAACATGACCAAGCCACGCGGAAATCTCCTGGACATATAACTTGGGTTAAGGCTTTAGGCCTTTTCATGTGCAAAGAAGACCCTCTCATGTTGTACAAAATCGAATTTGCATTGGAATTGGTCAAATGGCTTTTGAACGGTAGGCTCGCAAAAATAATGTTTCTTTTTCCAAAATTTATACACAGAAAAAGCAAATCGCTGGAAAATGACCAAGCCATGCGGAGATCTCCTAGACATGTTCCTTGGGTTAGGGTTTTAAGCCTTATCATGTGCAAAGAAGACCCTCTCAAGTTGTACAAAATTTGCAACGAAATTGATTAAATGGTTTTTGAATGGTAGGCTCGTGAATATGATGTTTTTTCCCAAAATTTACATAGAGAAAGAACCAATCGCCGGTGCAAAAAAAATGACCAAGCCACGCGGAAATCTCCTGGACATATTATTTTGGGTTAGGGCTTTAGGCCTTTTCATGTGCAAAGAAGACCCACTCAAGTTGTACAAAATCGAATTTAAATTTGCATTGGAATTCGTAAAATGCTTTTGAACTGTAGGCTGGTAAAATTGATGTTTTTTTCCCGAAATTTATATAAAGAAAAATCAAATCGCCGGTGAAAAAAAATGTTCAAGCCACGCGGAAACCCCGGCCTGGACATATTTCTTAGGCTAGGCCTTTAGGCCTTATAATGTTCAAAAAAGACCCTCCAAAGTTGTACAAAATCGAATTTGCAACGATATTGGTCAAATGGTTTTTTAACAATTGACACGAGAAAATGATGCGTTTTTTACGAAATTTCTTAAGACTTTATATAAATAAAGACACTCGCAGGTCCGAAAAGTGACTATTGAACTTGGAGTAGTTGCTCTTATTTTCCTTGAAGTAAATCTCTGTGCCTTTAAGCCTTATATGGCAGTGAAGAAGATCCTCTTAACTAATTCAATCTACCAGATTACATTTATATGAAGTCTTAATATCACTGTATGAACGGTTGACTCGAAATAATATTTTTTCTCGAAAATTTATATATTTTATATACAGAAGGAGCAAATCGCCGGTAAATGACCAAGCTATGCGGAAATCTTCTGCACATGTTCCTTGAGTTAGGGCTTTAAGCCTTTTAATGTGCAAAGAAGACCCTCTCAAGTTGTACAAAATCAAATTTGCAACGGAATTGATCAAATGGTTTTTGAATGGTAGGCTCATGAAAATGATGTTTTTCCCGATATTTACATAAAAGTGACCAAGCCATTAGGATATATCCTGGACATGTTCCTTAGATGAGGGCTTAAAGCCGTTTTATGTGCAAAGAAGACCATTTAAAGTTGTACAAAATTAAATTTGCAACGGAATTAGTAAAAATGGTTTTAGAATGGTAGGCTCGTGAATATGATGTTTTCCCGAAATTTATATAGAGAAAGAACAAATTACCGGTGCAAAAAATTACCAAGACATGCGGAAATCTCCTGGACATGTTCCTTGGGTTAGGGCTTTAAGTATTTTCATGTGCAAAGAAAAGCCTCTAAGTTGTACAAAATCAAATTTGCAACGGAATCGATCAAAGGGTTTTTGAATGGTAGGCTCGTGAATATGTTGCTTTTCTCGAAATTTAAATAGAGAAAGAACAAATCGCCGGTGCAAAAAATGACTAAGCCACGCGGAAATCTCCTGGACATATTACTTGGGTTAGGGCTTTAGGCCTTTTAATGTTCAAAGAAGACCCTCCAAAGTTGTACAAAATCGAATTTGCAACGATATTGGTCAAATGGTTTTTTAACAGTTGACACGAGAAATTGATGCGTTTTTACGACATTTCTTAAGACTTTATATAAATAAAAAACAAAATGCAGGTTCGTATAGCGACTTTTGAACTTGGAGTAAATCTCTGTGCCTTTAAGCCTTATATACCAGTAAAGAAGATCCTCTTAACTAATACAATCTATTAGATTGTTTTTTTAATGTTTTTAAGGCAATAAAACGCACAGAAGACAGGCTCAGAGGGTAGAGATTAGCTCACGGAAGCCATGGTGATAGGTCTTTAGGGTATTCTCAACGCAATAAAACCCACTGTATCAGCCTCAGAAAATAGAGTTGAGGTAATGCAACCCACGGTGAAAGGTCTTTTAGGGGGTTCTTAACCCATTACGCGATATACACGCCTTTTAACGCCTTTTTCAAACCCCCCCCCCCCCATTTTTTGTTGTCTCAACTGGTGAAAAAATGCCTTATTTAGGCCCCCAACACTTGTTTTTCTTTGAGAAATGTTGTTACAAAGGCAATAGTCTAGTCAACACTTGTGCCACGTTTGATTAGTATTGAAACAGTTTTTATTTGAACTTGTAATTGGAGACTTTTCAATGAAAACGGCCGTTTTTCACAAAATGCTGATAAGGTAATGGGTTAATGCAATAAAACTGACGTTAGCAGCCTCAGAAAAAATGTAAAGTTCACGAAACCCACTGTTAAAGGCCTTTAAGGGGATTCTTTACGCAATAAAACCTACGGTGGCAGCTTCAGAGAATAGAGTAAATCTAAAGCAACCGACGATGAAAGGTATTTTAGCAGATTCATAGAGTGAAGCTCTTTAAACCCACGGTGATTGGTTTTTTGGGACTTCTTAACGCAAAAGAACCCACGATGATAGCCTCAGAGAATATAGTTAAGCTCACGCAACCCATGATGATAGGCCTTTTAGAGATTCCTAACGCAATAAAACCCACGGTGGCATCCTCAGAAAATAGAGTAAAACTTGCGCAACCCGCGGTGATAGGCCTTTTAATGGGTTCTGCACGCAATAAAACCGGCGGGTGATGTTAATGCCTCAAAAAGGTGCACAATAATCCTCTATTAACACATTGTTTTAAAGAATTTCTGATTGGTCAGATATTTTATTAATAAGTCTATTTATAAGTGTAATTTAATATTGTACACATTAACCTGTCGTTTTTAAAGAAAAAATTACGTATTCGTGCATAAAGATATCCATGCAAAATGGTACATAGCATATGAGCAGACATTACTGAAGAACAAAATGAGTAGTATTACATAATGCCCGTCAAAACGATGGAATAACCTTTTCGAGAAAATGTTATATATATAAAATTTACATGGACTTCAATCAAGAGCATGCCAAGTACTAGTGTAACGTGTACCGAGCTTACATGTATTCGTATTCAATATTATACATAAATAATTTTCCTCTAGGTTTCCTTACCTAAATGATTTGAAGACCAATGATTTCAAAATGATTCCAATCCAGAATATAATAAATCGACTTGAATTAAACAAATATTAAATAAACAAAACACAATATGGATATATTTGTTAACAATCCCAAATCCTAGTCTCGATGCCTTCCTAATATAACCCGTCTTGATGCCTATATATTATACTATGCTCGTATTTTCTATGTTTCTGTTTTGATATTTCAAAATAATTATCCAACAAATATCTTGCAACCCGGTTTACTTTCTACCATATAAAAACTTGCAATCCTCTCCGGTAGCGTTGCCTCCTGGAGAACACGGATTACAGACACTGTCTGACAATATATAGAAGGTATAACTTCAAAGCTCCTAAATTAGATGTTGACAATCTGACTTCCACCAACAAAAACTAAACCTCACCGTGAATTCCTCTGCTTATATATGCTTTGCACGACAATTAACGCCCTCTTACGGCTATTTATTATTAGCTAATCAACTAGCTTACCATACGATTATACAGAAACGAGCACATGCTAATAATGTTAAAAAGATCTTATAGTCTGCATTACAAATAATGTCAATTAAAACCTTGTAGTAGAAACTATGTATAGATTCTACTTTACATTACAATGACATCAAAGAAATGCTCATATCATAATTTACAATAGAATAATAGCAAACTAACCTTGAAAATATAATTATATATGAAACGTTTTGTTGACGTTTGTTTACCTGCAAATGGCGTTCTAATATTAAAGGGCCGTAACTCGTAATAATTGTTACACTAGTAACCGAAACCAAATCACTAGGACCCCTGACATAAGATATTGGCGCCCATACCAAAACAGTGTCTTCAAAGAAACTTCATACATTTTAGGCCAATGTGCATTGGCATCTCTATTAATTATCAATATCGAGATCACTGTAGGTAATCAAATTAATATAGTATAGTACAAAGTTTGCAATATCATTGTCATTTTTAAAGTAAAATTATAGGTTCAGAAAAATATTTATATTTTTAGACAGGAAATTAATGTCTACACTTAAGCCAAGCAGTACTAGTGACTAGCTTACAACCAATAGACACATACATACTTTTGACTTTTGTGTGATTACAAAACGGTAAATTTGCAATAATAGTGTGTGAAGTAACGGGAGTGTATTCACGTAGCTGCTGAGGGAAGTTAGATACATGTAGCATAGTAATTCCCGTTCAAATAAATATTAAGAAATCCTGTGGAACTAGACATTTCAAAACTTCAATAAAAGCTAAGACAAAATTAATTCTTAATTACTACGTTTCGGTTTGAATTATGTTGAATATAGTAAGCGTATGAAAAAATCCGTTTTAACATTTGACATTTTTGTTATAGTTTGACAGGGCTTGAGAATATGTAGTATTTTTCTAACAAATAATTTGTTTATTCAATTTTAAGCAGATTACAAGTAACCGACTGGACAGCGATGATATTTCTTTACATGTTTATTAAGTTAGTGACGTTCCTGCTTGTTTTAAATAAGCATATAAAAGGGGTAATCGAGATTGAAGCTACATATGTATTTTTAACTTTAGAACTATTTATAGTTGTTGGAAAATCGACATCGTCCAGATTATTTGTTACAAAACATTTTGCATTGTCAGTCAGCCGTTTATGTTTTAAGACTGTTGTACTGTAATATGATCGAAATACATTTTTGATAAGGACAGTTTCATTCCCATTCATATTTACTTAAAAGGGATTTCCCCACTTATAACATATAAACGCGTACTAGCAAACATTTTATCTTAACAAAATGGAACATTAAAATTGTGATTTAAATTTAATTGTAAAAGAAAAAATTTTACTGTGAAATATTGAAAGCTTTTTTATTTTCAAGAGATGATGATGATTTAAGTCAAAACAACGACAAATTTAATCGAATTTCTATTTAACTTCACTCTGAATTATAATGTGATAACATGATTTTTAAAAAGTTGAGTTTAAAATAGAATTTTTTTTATCTAATTGCAATGCCAAAAGAAACTTCATTATTATATCTATGAGCATATTTGATTAAACTTTAGAATCCTGTAAAGTAATTTCGTAAGAAATCAGGTTAGTTTATTTTCTCTAGACATGGTCTGTATTGGGGTGGTCTCTCCGTTATATTGAGAGATTTAGCATCAAAACGCGCCGGAAGATCAAACACTGGAGTTGTGTCAAAGAAATTAAAAGGTTTGAGCAAGAATCCTGCCTCGACGCGGGTTGTCATTGGTACATCTTCGGAAGTAGGCACATGCAAAAAACCCATAGATATCCAGTTAACAACATCTGTATTTCTAACGGACTCGCCATTTAGCATTTTGTCAAGGTCGTCTACAGGCTTGTCAAGTCTTTGTGTGTCACTTGAAGAATCAAGATATTGTTCATCTTCTTTTCTTTTTGTAATGGCACAGTGATATTTCATAAACGACAGGGCTGGCATTACCGGATGGTTGTCTGACATAGTCTGTGCAGCGGTAGAAATGGGTTTTATTTCATACCCCCGCATATTACCCCATTTATTTCTCTCGTTTTCATTGACAATGATCCAAAATTCAGGTTCATCCATATTTATCCGTTTTCCGGTCTCATTTTCGGTGAGCTCATATTCTATATACCTGGTCCAGTTATCCAGGAAATATGGTGGAATTTCTGGTACATTTGGAACCTGACTACGTAAAGCAGATAGGACATTGTCATTTTTCCAGTGAATAACTTCCATTGAATTATCTGTCCCAAGAATGTCCAGATCCATCTTAAAACCAAACATGTGATCATGTATTTGTCCCTGTGCATTGTCACTTACTCTGAATCCAAACGCATCTCTTCCTTTTTCGGATCCCATAAAAGGATTTTCATGATCCCAGAATGTTGCCTGAATATAACCGCTTGCAGTTACAATTGTGAATATTTTCCCATCAAGATAAAAGTGCCATTCAACTGCATAGTCATAATTTGCTAAAGTAGTTGTCACACGGACGACAAAGTAATTATTTCTTAGTCCACCTTTAAATGCATAAGCAGAATGTCGCCAAAGGGCATTTTCTCCGTCTGCTTCAAACACGCAAATGGATTTCGATACATCAGGAGATGCACTTGATGCTTGCCAGGAAGTTGTTTTTAAAAGAGTTGCATGCTTAGGGCAGTCGACGGATTTGATTACTCCATTGTAATTCCCAACGCCGTATGTAGAATCAGAATAAATAATATTATTTTGACCTGATGATCCACTTCCATATATAACTACTATTTCATTTAAAGAAATCTCGTATGCTATCTTATTGCCTTTAAATAACACTTCAAAGATTCCAGGACCACGAAGCTGGCCAGCAGAAACATCAAAGTTCCAGTCCATCCAGTCGACATTATATCCTCGAATGTTGTATCTTGGTCCATCGGGCTCATATGTTCTTGGTGTAGATAAGAAAGAATTACGTCTGAATGGTTGGCCCTTATCTCGATCTGGAAGATTACGGTCAAGGACAGTTTTGCGATACCCATCAGGTAATTTAAACTTTCGTAAAGAACCGTTTTGATACGCGTTGAGCAAAGTAGTTGAGTTAGGGAAAGGTCCTTGATTTAAGTAGTAAAAATCATAGATGTACCACTCTTCAAAATCAGTCCCTGGGCAATGAATTGTAGCTGACAGTGGTAAAAAGTCCAATTCTAGAAAATCATAACCGTTTGAAGCTAAAGGATTTAACAAAGCAATGACTCTAGTCTCCCGTTCATCAGCTAATGCTCCAGGTGGTCCATTCCAAACCCAAAATTGTAAATCATTGTTCTCTCGTGGATAGAATGCGCCATCAAAACTTTCTTTAGTAAGGGGTTCGAGTATTTTTATTTCTTTGTTTAATAACTGCATATAAAGTCCGTATTCTATATCATCGAATGGACGACTGTTAAATACAAGCTCTCCATCATTGTAAAGTTGTTCCGCTGTCATTATATCTGCTCCGAGTGGTCCCACCTTGTACTCCATATAATCTGGTACAGCACGAGCACCCCGTGCAACGTGAACACGTGCAAATCTTAAATATAAAATATTAAAATGGAATAAAAGCTTAAATAAAATATGAATCCAAAGATGCCTTTTACGGAACGCAGTTCACAATAATATTCACTCAGTTATGATCACTAGAAAGGAACCGGGCAAAGACGGGAAGAGCGAGAAGGTAAGGTGCACTTCCTACAATAACTCATACATAAACCATGAAATTTACTACTTAAATTGAATGGGTATTGAAGGGAAAGGGAAGAATTCAGTGAAAGAAATTCTTAGGCGTATAGCGATACATATAAATTCATATAACTTTGGACAACACATGCAGAACGAAAAGGGGGAGCACCGCCTGCCTTATATATCAAAACCACTATTGGAAAATAAAAACCGGCGGAAGGTGCACCATAGATGTCTCTTAGTCCTAATATGTCCTGTAGTGTGTGACTTTTGGAATTTACTAAAGTCCGTTGAGCGACGTGTTTTTTTTTTTTTTTTTTTTTTTTCTTAGCAAATCAGCAAGATTGATTGATATAAATATGCATGTAATAGAAATAATCAATAAAATTATAAAAAGTACGCCTGCGTACCTTCCGGGATATTCTCCTTGTCCGGTTTTGTACTCTAAAACGGCAGTTTTATTTGGTAGGTACAAATACATAAATGTAAGGAAATCTATCTTCAGAGAGAGGCTCGACATGGCACTTACGTTGTCAGCATATTTATTTGTGATCATGAACTCATTTACTTTTATCATCTCGTCTGCTGTAAGAGGAGCGAAAATCTGGGGATCCTTACCATCCCATGGCTGTATTGCTTTTCCTCTGAAAAGCAATTTAAACTTAAAATTAAGCTACATGATGTGTGAACCTTGATTTTGGTATTTGTATTGGGCGTTCGAAAGGAATCTTTTATTTCTCTCTAATTCAGCGTGTTGCTACTCACTTACGGCTCGGGTTATATTTACAAGCAACCGTTTATATAGGGTCATAAAACCTGTCAAAAAATCTTTATAACTAATAATATAAACGTCACGGTTATCCAATGGTATAAGGATCTTACACCGGCTGCCGGTACAGACCTGAATATCTAGCTCAAAGTTAAATTGTTTACGGTGGTAACGATGCCCTGCCGAAACATTAATTCGAGAGCTAGATATTCCTGTCTGTAATGACAGCCTGTGTATGATTCTTTTTCTTGCGCATTACATTTAAATCATTATTCGGAAAGAAATTACGAAGACTAATATTTTCATTTAGCACTGTTTTATAGTAGCGTAAGTATTTACAGCTTCATTCGTAACGGCAAAATTACGTCACTCTATGAACACAATTCATTCGCGGGAATGACGTCATTTAGAGCACGTTACTTGTTTTACATGAAGGTCTTAGAGAGGCTTTTCTAGGACCGATGTAAACAGTAGATAATCATGTCTAAATTGCAAGAAAAGGCTACGTTACAAATGTCCAGTATTATAAAAGCTATATATAACGTCACGCTTATCCAATGAAAAGAGACTTTACAAACGTGCAGTATTATAAAAGCTGTACATTGTATATAACGTCACGCTTATCAAATGAAAAGAGACTTTACAAACGTGCAGTATTATAAGTAGCTTTATACCATTTGAATGGTGATAACATTATCTATTCATCTGAATCTTATTAATGCCCCTAATTGCAATACAAAATAATACAGAAAGAAACACCAAATTATCAGCAATATTGAGAAATACACAAGGTGCTGAGAAACAATTCGAGTAAAAAATAGGTTTTTTTAAAAGAAGAAAGTTTTACTTTGGACAATTCTTGCAGCGGTTTTTTATACATTCCGTTTGTTTCTGGTCGTTACTCTTGTCCGAATTACGTCTTTCCTTTTTGCTGGCTTTTCTGAAACTAAATTTTTAGCACAATTTTGTCGGCTAAAAAAATCTAAGAACATTTTTGTCCACTAGATAATGTTTTTACGCATTACCCAATGAAGTATTTATATCATCTTTTGTATTCTATTATTAAAATATATAATAAATCGTGCAATTAAAGAAAAGTGTTTTTATTGCCAAACCTTTATTTCTAAGTAATATTATTTCTGATATATAACATTAAATATTCATCGTCGGTCTTGTATCTTTAAATAGCAAATTCTATTTTGAGTATTGATATTTCTTAAATAATTCAAAACACTCAAAAATAAGACTTGTTTTGGAAATTATATATTTCAAAAATGCATGTAAAATAAAAAGCACTTTAAAGTATCTTACTTATCTGTGTGACCAGGTCTCTCCAACGGCTGGTCTCGAGATGATGAAATTCCTCTTTTCGATAGACGTAAAACGTCATTTTTCTAAAAGGAACAATCAAATTTTGTATTATTATTATATTATTAACACTCGTTTTTCACTTCTCTACGAATTATTCACAGTCGTTTTTTGGTTGCTTGTTATAACAAAACTTCAATTTCTTAGATACATTAATGACAAAACTCATACATTGTACCTCTGAAACTGATCTTTCTCCTTCAAAGACATGCTTTCCTATCACCAAACCGGCGAGAAGACCAATGCAAAGTACACCGAAAATATAGGCATAATAACGGCCCCTTTCTGTCTGTATCTTTGGAGTAGACATAGCTTTATGTTATGTTAAACGATGATCCATTGATTTTAAACATTTATAAGGTGTCAATTACAGACAGCTGTTGATATAAATGACACGGACACGTAAATGAGCGTAAATGAGTAAATATTATGTAAATATGTATTTTGTTGTTTTGTTGCCAAATGTAAAATATGACCATTTTTAAAGATAACAAAATCGATAAAGATTACAAATAACATTGAATTTTATCAGTATCAGAAAAACTGGTTAAATTAATGTTTCATGTGTAAATATAATTGAATATGTTCCAGTTTATCAGCATGGAGACAAACATCACATTTAAAAAATGGATAGTTATCTAGAAAATCTACAAGCTTAACGCCATTGCTTTCTTTCTTGGTAAATTGACTTTTAAACCGATTTGTGAGAAATGAATAACCTAGGTATGAAGTAACATGAAAATGCCATACAAGCCATTAATGGGTTCAACTATGCATGTCTTCCAAGGTAGCTTTTCAATTTGTCAATTACTGTATTAGATTTTTCATTTAATGAAGTTCACAGTACTTTCTGTAAGCAGTAAGTCGTATTCCAAAGAAACGTAAATATGTCATAACACTGCTGGCTGTTTAAGTAGCAAGAGTTCCTGCGGATATAAACACCTATGCCCTATACATATTCTTTTTTCTTCTTTTTTTCGGTCTTTGTCACAGTTTTGCCAAGACGACCTCTGATTGTACATTTTCTTTACCATCACCCATCACGTTTATGATGAAATGTTTCAAGCAAGAGTAATCTGTGTTTTTTAACTAGTATTTAAGTATTCCTTAAGGTTAGACCATGTATAACTGATAGTTCCCGAACATAGTCTTTGGACACTTTCTTTATTACCATATTATTCTTTGTAAATGTCATTTGCATTTGTATTGCGAATCAGGTTTGGTTTGTTAGCTGAATTTAAATTTAATCTAAAACCAAAACTTTTGTCAATTGGTAAAAAGGGCATAACAGTGTACATTGTGTGTCTTCGAAAATGCTTATGCAATTTGAGAGCGTGTGTCCGTTAAAGTTTGCGGTATATGTATCAACTGTAGGTGTATCATAATACCAAATGCAGTTTTTCCGACATAGCTAGAAGTGTTCGGTCATTGTTGCATTTTATACGGTTTTGTAAATACATGTGTACGAGTGATTTCTGTTTTATCGAAAAATAAATCGTAAAATTCTTTATTTAAGAAATAATATATCCCAAACTGTGATTTTCTTGCTCAATAACATCACTGTTTGGAGTTCGGATGCGGGGAATTATATCACGAGGGCGAAGCCCGAATGATATACTGATGCGCATCCGAACGACAAACAGTGATGTTATCAAGCGATAAAATCATCGATTTGGATATATTATTTCGATTCTAATATAAATGATGCCGTACATGATAATTAGCTAAATTGCGTCTGATTTGTTTCCGTACTTATTGTCAGCGCGTCACATTTTTAGTGTTTACGTCACATCATGTATAATGATTACGTCACATGTCTAAATATAGAACGTCAAACAGTGATTTTATAGCATATTCTAACACGCCCCGCATTTTTCCCCATTGAACATAGAAGAACCGAAAGTGTGTGTTATTATGCAATAAAATCACAGTTTGACGTTTTATATTTAGACATGTGACGTAATCATGATACACGTGACGTAACCACTAAAATGTGACGCGCTGAAAATAAGTACGGAAACAAATCAGGCGCAATTTAGGTTAATATCAGGTACGACAGCATTTATGTGTTGATGTCGTGTTAGAATCGAAATAATATATCCAAACCGGTGATTTCGATCGGTATATCCAAACAGTGATGTTATTGAGCGATAAAATCACTGTTTTGGATATATTATTTCTTAAATAACACACACTTTCGGTTCTTCTATGTTCAATAGGGAAAAATGCGATCGTGTTAGAATGATTTATATTAACCTCTTTAGAAAAGTAAAACATCATTTTGGCGAGCCAACTTGAACAGTATTTTTAAATTTTATTCTAAATAAGCGATAATCAAACAGTACTGTATGTCATAAAGCTTGACCTGTTGTGAAAATTTTCCTGGGGTGAACCCATCCGAACTTAACCCTAGATCATTATGCTACCGATAATATTAGCATATCTGGTCGCAAATTTCTGTAAATATGTTACCATGACTCAAAAACTTGCAATTCCTGTTTGGAATAAGAAGTTGCATCTCTGCTATGGCCTTAATTAAGTGACCAGTGAAATTTAGGTCTTCTTTCCCTCTTCCGTTAAGTCATGATTTAGTTTGAAACCTTCTCAAGAGTTCGTCTAGATGTTTGTAATATTAAGATGCTCGAAAATAGTCCTTACTTCCGGTATATTTTCAAGGCCATGTCCTACTTTTGCAAGGAGTGTTAACCTTGTCATGTAAATGTATTTCATGTTCTCCAAGTAGATTCTCTATTAATCAACGCTTCGTATAAAGTAGTTACACTTCGCTTCTTCTGTTTTCTTTTGTAGTGCACTTAGTGCCTCCTTTTAACGCCCCTTCCCATCTCATTTAACAAAATGCATGCATTTAATAATGTCTTTTTAATTTTGCTCGGATTTACAAAAAGGTCAAGGTGACCAATCAAATAAGCTGATACTGTGCAACATTGTAAAACTTATCAACTTCGAAAACAATGCAGTTATAATAATATATGAAATAGTTGAACAGATATGGAAAGTATAAGACTAAGAACTAACGTGTTTCACTATGGTAATAAGAGTGACATTTACATGTTTGGGTATCAACGTAAATGATTGTTGATACATAAATATATAATATTTTTTATTATTAACTCCAACGAAAGCTTAGATATTTGAAGATCGTCTGCTCAGTAAGTATTTAACGGGTATAAACGGGTATTGTGTTCGAGGTATCCTATGTAGTTAAAGGTAAACCACCACTATAGTTATAGTAAGGACTGCGATCACTATAATTTTCTTATTGTTGTTGATGTAAAGTACATTTTATAACAATTTTTTCAAACTATCAATCAGTATCGAACAGTACCGAAAAATATACAAGAATAAAAAACGAATGTAACACTCTTAGTTTTATATTCAACAGTTACATAAAAATATTTAAATACGTTTAAATAGCAATGTTAAATATATAATAAATAAATGTAGTCTATCTTCTTTTCTGATACAAACTGTTAAAATTATACATTTCTTCTTGTTTTATTTTTGGACAACTAAAACAAACAAATATGATTAAATTGTTTTGACATAGGTTGCATCTCCAGTTTGATGAAGTGCTTTTCAATATAAAAACCTATGAAACAAGCTACAAAAACATAATAATGGCAACACATTTCACTCCAGACAACAGGAAAAATAATCTAGATGATTTACTTTTGTAACAATAGAACTTGATCTTCAGCATTGACCCAAACAGCCAGTTAAACATATTAACATTTTGTTTTATAGTTGGTTAAAACTCAGTTATACATTTATATAAATAACATAATGAATTGAATTCTTTGAAAATACATGATACGTACGGTAAAGTAATTTATTAATTTTCAATAATGTCTATGTAATAAAATACTGTTTTAAATTAGCAAATTAAATGTTTAAGAAACCAACACTTATTTAGATTGCATTATATATTCATATCAATGTAAATGTCAGGTACGATAATGTTTTAGTAGAAACTCTGCAGACCCCCATTTCAACCTACCGCAAAACATTGTACTCATATCAATGTAAATGTCAGGTACGGAAATGTTTTTGCGGAAACTCAGCAAACCCCTATTTCCACCCTACTGCAAAACATTCCATGTGTCTAGTATTTTATTCTTTTATTGAAAATCCTTTATCGAAATGATATTATAGATATAATAATTTTATTGAGCTTTATTTTTCTAACAGTATCGTGTGCCGGAATGCCATCAATTAATACACGCAGGTTGTGTGTAAGATAATAATTTACAGCACAAATGCAAAATTAGATCTTCCATTGTCTATATCAGATCATTACAAAACAATAAAGGAATCAAAATATATATCGTCCATGATATAACACATAATAAACGAAAGTATGAACATTTAAAACATGATTTAAACGTTTTGTTCGGAGGTATATAACATGTGCAAATAAACAATAGAACATTAAAAACAAATTACATAACAAGAAAAAATACCAATTATAATTTATGTAAAATCCTTCCTCATTTTCGAGGACTAACACAATTTTTGATCGATGCTATAGATAATGTTATCATGACAGAATAAGAATGGAAACCAGAAAAAATGTCTTTAACTGCCATAAAGCAATGTACATATATCACAACTATTTAAATAAAAGTACCTATGACTCACGCGTAACACTAACTCTAAAATATTTATTTAAATCAAAATATTCATCTATGATAATAATAAATAAAACAACACGCATAGGATTTTTTTCCAATGCATATTCCGATCTAAAAGAGATCTCAATTGATAAGACTGAAACGCGCCCAGTTCTTTTACAGTATAAAACATAGTGATTTATTTGGTTTAATAGCTTAAAATGTCTAACATATTTCGTCCTTATTTCTTTCTCTGTTGTGCCATGTTAAGTTTATAATAAAATCCTTGTTTCTTCATAAGCTCCGAGTGTGTGCCTTCCTCCGTGACGACGCCATGACGTATGACGCAGATTTTGTCCGCGTTCTGGATGGTAGAAAGTCTATGGGCAATAACAATACTGGTTCTACCCTCTCTCGCTTTGTCTAATGCCTCTTGTACAATCTAAAATTGTAAAAAAGATCATTTTAAGAATATGCTGATCTCGTTTCTTTTTGTAATCGGAGACAGTGTCCTTTTTGCATCTAATTAATACAAAATATATTATATAATTTGCTGATACTAAGAAAAATGTAAATAATTATATACATATTTATTATTTTTCAGTGTAGCAACTTTTAATACTAGCATAACAATATCACGTGAGGAAGATATACAGTTTGGCCTTTAAATTTAAAGAATCGATATTATTTCAAATAAAGGATGTAAATACTTAATCTAATAATAGAAGAGTTCTTGGATATGTCTTTCCAATAGACAAATTGTGAACAACACATTACCTTTTCACTTTCAGTATCGAGAGCAGATGTGGCCTCATCTAAGAGAAGTATTTTGGGATGCCTGACCAAGGCTCTAGCAATGGCCACCCTCTGTTTCTGTCCTCCGCTGAGCTGTGCTCCCTTCTCACCAACACTTGTGTCATAGCCCTTAATTATAACAAAATAAGCTATAAATAACAATAAGAAAGAAGATTTTATTACATGCTTTTCGGTGGTTTATAGAAATATATCAGTGAAATAAAACTGGTAATTTCACTGTTTGAAACAGTGAAATTACCACTTTGATAATTTCACTGTTTTGAATTTAAGCCCCTTACGTTGTTTCAGTGAAATACCAGCGTGCACAGTACTGGGTACCAACTTAATGACGTGACGTCGTAAATGACGTCACGTTGTATTATTATTTGGCGCGCTTTTCATTCAGTATTAGGTTTAATGTCTTTTTAAAACGTTTCTTTGCATATAATAAAAAGAAAATTTGTTTAGTTTAGTGTAAGATCGAAATATATTTCACCTTGTGAACACCAAAAGTTCATATTTCACTCGTGGCTGCGCCACTCGTGAAATATACCTTTTGGTGCTCACGTCGGTGAAAATAAATTCCGATCTTACACTGAACTAAACAAATATCCTCTATATCAACCTTTAAAGTAATGATATGAAAGTTACAGTTAGGCTGTTTAGTAACATCAACCGTATATGTCTAACATTTGTTTGATTTCATAAGTTAGTTACACCGACCTGTTGGATATATTTTCTTACTAAATTTTTTTTTATATTTCTTAACTAATATAATTCCAGTACCTGTTTACTGCAGTCTCCGCAAAGTCAATTAAATAAAATGATTTAACTTGTTCTTGAAAGTTTGTGATAAACTTAAATTACACAAACAATGAAACTATCAATAATGATGTATAATTGCAGTAGAACTTTAATAGGGCTATCTGCAAAATTGTCAAAGCGGTCAATAGAATATTTTTAAGCGTCCATATGGGTATGAATGAATATACCTTTGCCATGCCTTATATTTTTAATATACTTGTTCAACAAGACCAATCATCATTTAAGGCAAATTTCAAAATATTACTTACTTGCTGATTAAACAAACGGTTTAGATTTATCTTATATATTCATATATGTTTACCTCTGGTAAAGAGGAAATGAACTGATGTATGTTGGCTTTCCTTGCAGCTTCTATAATTTCATCCATTGTCACTTTTCGTGAGTTATCGCCGTACGCGATATTTTCTCCTATACTTCTGTCAAACAGTATCGGCTCCTGCGACACAATACCAATCTGTGACCTCAACCACTTCAAGTTCAAATCTTTCAAATTGTTACCATCAAGATACTGAAATATTTTAAAATATGTTTAGAAAGATTCATTTCAAAGATCGCATAGATATGTAAAACAACATTTTATGGTCCAATGAACCAGAAGAGAAATAATTTTCAGGATTTTCTCAATATTCTTTAGTGACGAATGATTTCAAATATGTTACGAGCTATAAAGTTACAATTAAACGTACATTTATTTGAATGATTTCAATAACCGATCTTTTGAGACAATAGTGAAACGCTATGGGTTATGGGACCTTTGCCTGTCATGTAAGATAATGATGGAGAACAAATGTGTAAAGTTTCAACACATTCCCTTCAGTTAATTTGGAGATACCAATGTCAGCCCCGCACGTAAAAAAATTGAACCACAGTGTGACGGCGACGACGATGGCAGGTAAGTTCAATAGTTATCCCAATATTCCAAAGAGTCGAGCTAAAATGTCGTGACATTTTCTGAAAATTTAAGATACATTTAATGTTTTAAAGAAATACAAATATATTACCACTGCTCCTTCGTCTGCGTCATAAAACCGCTCAGTCAACTGTACAGTTGTGCTTTTCCCACACCCGGAACTTCCAACCAGTGCCACCGTCTGACCTTGGGGCACGAGCAAATTCAATCCTGTTAATACTTGTGTATCCGGTCGAGTCGGGTATACGAATTTAACGTCCGAGAAAGCTATTGTACTACGATACTTCTCCTGAAACAGACCGTTCAGTTATTATTTACAAATGATTCATATTGCAATGAATGAATAACATGATGAAATATCTATTGGATTCATTAAATTATAAATATAAAAATATTGTATTTTTCGAGAAAGTAAAAGGAAACGATATTTAAGACTTTGCACAATGAAGAAATGTAATTATTTTAAATTGTATATGAAATGTAGTTTGGCAACCACACATAATCATAAATAACGACTTATAAAAATATTACAAGGGGGCGGTGAAAACACATGCACTAAATAAGAATTCACAATGTAGTCTCATCAATCCATTCATTAAAGACAATGGGGAAAAACACAACAATATCTCGCGTTAGCTCTTTTGCACTGGTTTAAGCAGTCTGTAATTTTTAACACAAGCAGTAAAGTAAATGTAGAATAAAATATGATAAACAAGATCAACAAGGAAAGGCGGCGTTCAATGAACGCAACCCCCATATGACCCAGCAACAATAACCAATGGCAAGGAGCCCATGCGGACCCCAGCATATGCTGTACTGTAAGAAAGCAGCAGTAAACGGCAGTGAGGGAAGTATATGAAGCATGTGTGTATGCTGATATTACATTCAGTTCACAATTAAGTATTTCATGCATGTTGTGTTGTGCACTCGCTAAGAAACATTCAGTGATCTTCCCTTGCAAAGCATTCTTATCTTTCACAAAGTACACACATATAAACATTACTTGCACGTTCATTATTTAAATGACATATAATAATGAATGTGAATACAAGCAGCTGAAGCAAATGACAGGCGAAATGAAATACAAACAACGGGTGGACAATTAGAAAATGCATCAAACTTTCCTACACATGTGAAATTAACACATCATGCTTTGAGATTTACATCATTATTAATAGTGTTTTGTTGCGCAAAGTGACCTTGCACAGTAACAGTTATTATGGACACTTGCATTCTTCGAATAAAGGGATTTAAAAGGCAAAGCAAAAACGTTACATTAGCACCAAACAATTCAACAAAACAATGGGTTACTCATTAAAGTTAGGATGCAAAAGATAAATACAAATTAGAGAGTTACATAACATCTAATATCATGTGAGAAATTCAAGCGCTTAAGTATTTTATATAAGAACCTTTTCTTCTGTGTTTTCCTATAGGTAACGATAAAAAAAATATTGATAAATATTTTCCATTTCATTCTTGTATAATAAATATATATTTACAATTTGTTTTATATTTGTATGAATAAAATTCATAATTACTTTTATCAGAAGACACCAATAAAAAAATATGAGAATGTCAAATGAAACGAAATAAAAACTATGGCTACAAATTCTAAGAAATAATGTAATGTCTTTATAATTGCAGATATATACCGGTATTGGCAAGTTATGTGAACGGTTATATCAAACATTGCCACCCATTCTATTATTATATTATATGACCATCATATACATTGTGATGCCCAGGTTTTTTAGAAGACAAAAATAATGTGAAATGCATCAACGAATGATAATGTCTTTATACGCATGATTACCTCCTGGAGTTTGTGTCCCTTATCAGAGTAGCTATCTATCTTTGGTTCTTTGTCAAGCAGTTTAAATATTTCCTTAGCGGACTGTTCAGCTTTTGCAGCGTCAGGGGCAAACGAACTAGCTTCTCCTATAGCCATACCTCCAAACACTATAGCTGAGAAAACCCTGCAAAATAAAGGTACACTTTAGATAAATGCATTTAGATGTTCATTAAGTGCAGATAAAGTTATGTCTTATAATATTAAGTAGGCTAAAAAGTGCGAAATCGTAATCATGGTCCACAGTATCTATATATTTGCGAATAATTATTCAAAAGATTTTAGGAACTGTATAGTTTATTAAAAAATTTAAATGCACAAATAAAGATAAAGTATAACGTGAAACTAAGAATATGTTTTCTGTTACGGCTGTTGTTAACGACGTTGTCTGTTTTTGTTGTTATTGCTGCTGTTTTCAGTGAGGCCTTTTTCGAGGTTAGCGGGTAGGAAGTGTTGCTATTTCTATTACAAATAGAAATCAGATTACCAGTTATTTTTTGCAATGCAAAACGGACAGTTTATGGAATCTAAACTGAATAACATTAATAGCAAATGAATTTAAACATCTGCACAGAAAAAAAGACATCTATATAAATTCTGAAACGACGTACTTGAACACTGCGACATAATCTAATTCTGATTGTTGGATCAAATATGCGCCAAGCCAGAACGAGGCTGCGTAGGCAAAGAAGATGACGCCCTGGGAGACGGAGAAAGAGATTCCTATCACGTGCGCCTTCTTCAACGCCTCCTCGTAAGGTACATCGAGCTCGGCTTTGAATTTTCTACGGAACATTTTCTCTCGAGTGAGTGAGGCAACAGTTCTAATGTTTTCGATGGATTCTATAGCTATCTGGAAAACAAATACACCGCTTGATTATATGAGAGAACAAAAGGAGTGCAAAATATGGACACAAATTTAATTTTTAATAACTAAAATATAACATATTCATGCAGACTAACTGTAACTGACTGTTCTAAGAAAACATCAAATTCAGATCATAATCAGAAACACCTGTCTTTGAAGGTCAAAATTGTACTTACCAGCTTTATCAAATATATCAAAGATTATACTATTATTTATTTCGTTCGACATAACACACCTGTCACAAATGTCATAAATGTCAGAAAGCACTTTTGTTTCTAATTTCTCGAATCCTATCCTCATACACATCATTAATATAAATAATCAAACAGTTGCCAACCTTGCCAGCAGCTTCTAATGCCTCTTTATTTTTGCCTGCAGCACCAGCCAACATCTGCATTTGAAGAGCGCCTCCTATCATGATCAGAGGTAGGAAAGCAATTATGAGGAGCGTCAGTTTCCAGCTGTAGATGAATGCAATGATCAGACCAGTCAGTATACTGCACAGACCCATAAAACTTGAACCAAGTTTAGCACCTGCTGCCTGGAATGTAGATGATAAAAATGTATTTGTTAAAGCGGCCTTCAGCTTTTTCTAAAGGTCAATTTTTTTTAAATAAATTGTTTCACACAATTGTCAAATGAATAGAATTCAAGAGAAAAATGAAAATTGCCGTAGATAAAGTACATAAAACATAAACGATAAGAAAATCGCTTGATACCTATAATCTACCGGTCCGATCTCTGTATAGAAATTACAAAAGCGGGCGCAATCTTCTATTTTTAGAAACGAATGTCACTGGCGCGTTTTAAATAGCTCTGGGGACGCTGTTTTGAAGAAAGTCTAACAGTGATATGATCACTTTTCGAAGTTAAAATTATTGAAAGTACTTAGTTTGATGCAAAACATAATTGTTTTTTTCCAACAAAAAAAAAAAAGTTGAAGGCCGCTTTAAACATGAAATAAATTAGTGTCATGCTTACATTTTTACTAATAAATAATGCTATTTTATCAAACATTTAACTGTACAATACAGGAAGATAGTTGAACGAGTAAACAGCTTAAGAACCAATATTGGACGACCCGCCAGACGAGTTAAGGTGTGTGCAAGTCCAAATATATGTCGTATTGCACTTGTTTGATGTTAAAGATCCTGTTTATTCTATATCAAAATTATATTCAAGAAAAGCGTCTTTATGTTGTGGGTTGACGTTGCAAGACGCCTAGTAGAATTCGTTCAGATACGTTTGTCGTTAACTGTTTTTATCATTGACGTTGTATGAAAAAGGCCGACGCGCTTATCAGCCTTATTAAGGATAATTTATTTGGACGATACAGCGTCCAATATTGATTATATATCGGATGGCCACACGGTACAATTTAAAGTTAATAATTAATATAGAATAATAATGGCATATACTGGCAAAACGGCTTGCAGGATCAAACAGTTACATTTTAAATACAATTCTATTAAAGAAAGATCAAACTATGTAATTTTATAAATGAATAACTCTTCAATTTACTAAACGAAACAACATTTACCATTTATACTTACAGATGTAAAATTTGTGATAGTGATTGATATATTGTAAATAATTAACTTACACCTTGTACTTGTGAAGCATCCGTTGACAGCCGTGTACACAAGGCTCCCACGGAGTTGTCATGGTCGTCAAAATAAGCAATTTCCTAAAACATAAGTTCATACGTCAAAGTCAGCAGTCAGGAATTACTTATTAAACAAACAACGGCAGTTAATGCATTTATCAAAAAAATGTATTAACGAACATAAACGATCATCAGCAGTAGTTTCTTTCCTTTTCCTTTTTTTGTATGTCATTTCCTGGGCGTTAAGTCACACACACTGCAACGGTCTTATGGCGACTTTTCAGCTTTTCTCGTGAGGTCATCTATTCCTCAAGTGAGTACGATTGATTTTTTTTAGGTTTTCGTCGTTCCAACACAGTATAGGTCATACGGCGACTTTTTACTTTTACTGAAGGAGGAAACATCAGGTGCACCCGTGCATTATTTCAGGCAGAATGGGTACCTGAGTAGAACCACAGACGTTCCTAGCTTCCTACCTTGAAAAGGCCTTAACCACTTCACCATGGACTAAAAACTAGGTTCATCAATTTTATTCTTTATTTAATAACCATACGGGTAAGAAATCTTGATTGTGGATCAAGCTAAACTAAGTAGTTATTGACCAATCTAAATAAATTTTACAATTAAGTTTATACCTGTCTTAACATGGCTCTAAATGACATAGATCGCAGCCTCATGGTGAGTGTCTCTCCTGACCTCCCAAACATGTAACCCTGAAAATATATGTCAAAATGTTTAAATATTTTTAACATTTTAGAAACACTTATAATAATTATTATATATTTGAAATATTTAAAAAAAAAAACACTTATAATATTACATATTTGAAACATTTAATGAACACTGATAATTTTACATATTTGAAACATTTTAGGAACACTGATAATTTTACATATTTGAAACATTTTAGGCACACTGATAATTTTAGATATTTGAAACATTTTAGGCACACTGATAATTTTACATATTTGAAACATTTTAGGCACACTAAAATAGAGAGAAATAAAGAATAACTAAAAACCGCTTAAGTTATCATGGGAAATTTCTTTCTATAGACAAAGTGGTGCTATCTTGAAATCATTTTTTCCAGAAAATAATACGATCTTTGCATAAAATGATATATAAGACATTGCATATAATACTATATGTGAAATAAATTATTTAGTTTATTCATAGTTATACCAGAAAAAAAATCTTAAAGCAAGTCTCAGACCAGCTCTGAGCTTATATTTCTTATTATTTTTAAATAATGATTCAATAATCAAAATTTTCTGTACATCATTTAAGTGATACAGTACGTATAATACACATTGAGAACATTGTTTATGTTGCAATACAATTGACATAGAGGATGAATATCACTTTCTATGAATATGGCACTTGTTTTCATAGTCTACGAATTCAGTAGATCTATCTTAAAAAGTATTATTATGTTAAACCATCTATGTTTTAATTTATAGTTCTACTTTCAACGTAAAATAAAACACCTTTAGTTAAGCTATCAAAATATAAAAAAACACAATAGTTAGCTCTTAATAGCATCTTCTTGCACAGAGATTGTCCTTTTTAGACATCTTTTTTTATCTAAAGCAATGCTTTTGCGTTGATTTTGTTTTTCTTTGATAAAAAATATCATGTGACGATGTCAAATCAAATCTCTTGTTTGTAAACAAGACCATGGACAGACATATAAGTTTGCAAATAAACAATGTTCCAAAACTTACCTGGAGAAAATATGAGACGAGACTAACACCGGCCAATGCGACAAATAATAGGACGTATAAATTAACCTTCCTCGTTTGTTCGTCCAAATCTTGAATGGCAAATACCTGAAAATTTAAATGAATTAGCCTGAACAAAGAGCATACCAGATTAAACCCTAATTTAAACAGAAGCACATTTTTTTGTCTACATTTGCAAACAATATCAATGTAGGTTAAATTGACAGAGACATTCTAACAGTATGAGAATTTACCATAAGGGTGCGGAAACAAAATTAAAAATATCTGTCATGAGTGGAATATCCGACAGAAAGGGAAACTGCTCGTTGAGCGGTAACAAGATTTACCGCCAATGGCCGGGTTCCCGAGGGACGGATATTCCTACTCGAACCGCAAACATATATTAGATATTTTTCAGATTCCGTTATATTTTAAACTCTACCATAATAAAACAATTTTCCATGGAAATTTATGTCATTACACCCGTAACTATTTTCTTAAAATGACGTATAAAATAACAAATTCATTCATAACGTCATCCCTAGCATGCCATTGTATAGCACCTTGCCAGATGAAATTTCCGGCATGAGTAAAACTAACGGTAACGCCAGTTTGATATGCAAGAAAACTTTATAGTACATCAATTTTACACACAAAAAATATGTGCATTGTATAGCTTTATGCTCTTTTAATATAAAGAAGAAATATCTTGCTATTTCTTACTGCCAATACAATACGAACAAGCCTGTACTCTACAACACTGGATATAGCTTAACCTGTGTAAAAAGGCGTGTACCTACCCCTAAAATTTCAGCAAATATTACAGCAAACGCGGGCATTAATCCACCATTGATAATGCTGCCAACACATCCAAGAGCTATTATCCACCATTCGGATGCATTCATCTTCAAAACTCGCATCAGACCAGAGTTTACTTCTTCTTCCTCCTTTTCCTGTAGAACATAAGTATAACGTCACAATGGAAAAGTAACAGCTTAATTCCTTATTTAATATAATAGGTGTTAACCCGCTACCGCAATACACTACATTAAAACAGTTGTTGTGTGGAATTTCAATCAAAGCTGACCTTACCAAAAAATATAAAGCACTCTTGTTATTCCCCGTATTTTTGTATGAAATTCGTAATATGTTAAAGTGCAGCGCTTATGGTAACCTATGGGTTTTTTTTTATGACAAGGAAACAATTACCTTATCGTCTTTTTTATCACCAGCATCCTTCTTGCTATGGTCTGGGAATGTGATCATGGAATGCTGTGTAGTCAGTGGTTTCTTGCCTGGCGTTCCTTTCTCAGGTGCATCAAACAATTCAGCCTCTGCATCTGTAAATGTGAGAACAACTCTAAATTTCTAGTAACTTAAATCAGCCGCAGAAAATATGTTAAACACGAGTGGTCCATGTGAGAAATGGCAAACGTCTTTTTTTTCTTTCTAACAGTACTTTACACTTCTAGTAAAACTAATCTGCAACACCGCACCGCCCGTTGAAAGCAGCGTGACCTATCTTTGAATTATCAAACCCATCGTTAAAGGCCCGCCTTGTATGTATAGTCAAATGGTAAAATGTCCGCTAAAGGTCAAAGCAATGACAGTTTCACATATCCCCCGCTAACATTGCTTCAAAAAATAAAGCAACCGCATTAACTCGGCTGTAGACAATCCGTACCTTCCGCAGTGTCCCATATATGAGGGAGTGGCAGTGTTGCAAGTAAGTGGTACCATAAATAAACACGAATTGGTCCATGTAATTGCTTTCTTAAAAGAAATAACAAAAACTAATATTTCAGCATATTTTTCACGGGGTGTAAGACTATTAGAATCTTACACCAACTGCCGATACAAACCGGAATATCTAACTCGAGGGTATCTGTTTACATTTAGTTAAAGAGGCTCTGCCGAGTTCATACATCCCAAAAGAAACAGTTATCCGAGAGCTAGATATTCTCTTCTGTAACAACACCCGGTGTTTGATTTTTTTCATGCATATTACATTTTATATCATTATATCTGAAAAAAAGAAACAAAAACTTATAATTCCGCTTTGCATTTTTATTATATTAGATCTACGTATAAGTTCACAACTTTATTCATAACGTCAAAACGACGTCATTTTAAGCACGCGTCCTGTCTTAACATATATTTCTAGCACCGCTGTAAATATTTGATATGCCAGAGAAAATAAGATTATTCAACATGGTTAGATATGTTGAATAATGTTTACAAGAATTACGAAGCAACTTAGTAAACAAAAATATAACATAAAGCGTCTTCTTATCCAAACTCGAATCAAAACTCCCTAAAATAAACACAAAGATATCTTAAGAATAGATCTAGAGTAAAATGGAATTCCTAAAGCACGCCAAAGATTCGGTTTGATTGAGCTGCATCAGGGACGATAGTGGTAACTGCAAGCTTATGTCCATGCCCCCTAGCACCGGCTTAAGCAGAATTCAACAACTAAATATAAAAAGGCGAAATTTTGAAAATCAGAAATATCTTATCAGTTTATCTCATAGAATTACATCGATATATGTGGTATTAAAAGACATTTCACCGCCTTAGCGTTTTGGTATGAAGGAAATGTCCAAGGGGGTTAAACACTTTCGTTTAATTCCTTAGTACCAATCCAAAAATGATAGTGATAGTCGTAATTTAACACCGCTTATATAGATATCATATCTAGTCTAAAATGACAAATAAGGTCGGTAAAAGAAAGCTCTGATGTTATATTCCAAACGTAAGTGTCCAGGATAGGGTTTATTTACATACCTTTTTCTAGTAATCCAGGAAAGTAATAAAATAAGAAAAAAATACTTTAATTTCAAAACATATGTTTCAAATCTTCTGCATTTTCTTATCTGTATAAATGGGCAAGTTTAAACTTCAATCATAAAATCTACATGTAAAAATTTTAAGGATCATGTTCTACCATAATAATAGATAGCATTAATGAATAAAATACTAGTATGCAAATCTTGGTTCCTTATTGCTTTTTATCGTAGGGTGTAAAAAGGAATAGCGGTGTTCGATGTCATCTATATACCATATGTGCATTTTTTTGTATTGCAAGTATTTTAGAATAAATAATAAAGTTAATGATTGTAATTAGGTAATGCGTACTGTATTGGAAAGTTTTATTTCAATGCATAATTATTTTAATTTATTTTAACCTTCATTACTTGTTAAATACATTGCTTCTTTTTTTTTATTTTATCTTTTTTTTCACTGCGGGGTTCAACATGGCTTTCGGGGGGTGGGGGGGTAATAAGACGGAGAGATCTAGCCATTCATCTTTACATATTCCATGGTACAAATACAATCATGCAGAAAAGTTTAAAAAAAGCTACACATTTTAGTTTGATGACATCACGTTAAAATGGTGTCGAAAGGAAAAATTCAAAATCCAATATTTTTATCTCTGAGTCATGATAAACATTACACTAAATTACTTATAAGCTACAAAATATCATTAAATGCCAATGAATATATTGTATTCATTGACTTCTCGTGTACACTCGGTTAATTCCGCCATTTTCCGTATTTTATATTCCTACGATTAAAATGTACCAAGGAAAAAGTTAAGATTGAAAGATTTAGTTATAGTATACCTGCGACTGTAATTATATAATCCACGCAACAGGAAATAAAACAGAAAAGAAAATAGAAACATTACTATATAAAATTCTCTATATCTCTATAAAAAAAGGTTCAAAATTGAACTGAATACATGTTTGTGTAAATGACCCCTTTCGAAACTTATAAATATTCAAGAAACCAAGAGTCTGTAAAATCTATACAAAGTTAAAGCGGCCCTCAGCTTTTATGTTTTGGTGGAAAACAATTCTGTATTGTTTCAAACTAAGTGTTTTAATAATTTTATCTTGGAAAAGTGCATCATATTACTATTCATAACGCGTCAGTGACTTTCGTTTCTAAAAATAGAAGATCGTGGCTTTACAGATTGACATATAGAGAGCGGACCGGTTGATTAGAGGTATCGAGGTTTTTTTTATTGTTTATGAGTCTTATCGACTGCAAATTTCATTTTCCACCTTAATTCTCTTGATTTGACAATTATATAAAAAGGTTTCTAAAAATAACATTTAACCTTTAGAAAAGCTGAATGCCGTTTTAAACAAAGGTATTGTAAAGTTAAACAAAGTGAATAGTGTGCTACACAACAGAACAGAAAAACACCGCAAAATTTAATGAACATGTATAAACGAAAAGCAACTTAAATATCGATTTACATTTCAAATTTCTAATTTTCTGCAGTTAATGCCTTAATCATTCAGTGATAAATACAGTCGAACCACGGTCCATAGGAACGTTATGTGAAACTTTGGTCTGGGTGCATTGATTCTCTAACTAAACAACGTTTGTCAATAGCTAAACAGTGAGTGAACTTGAAACGGTAATAAATTGTAATTCTAACACGACCCGCAATTTTCCCCATAAACATAGAAGAACCAAAAGTGTGTGTTATTATGCAATAAAATCACAGTTTGACGTTCTATATTTAGACATGTGACGTAATCATTATACACGTGACGTAACCACTAAAAATGTGACGCGCTGAAAAGTACGGAACAAATCAGGCGCAATTTAGGTTAATATCAGGTACGGCAGCATTTATTTTGTTGATGTCGTGTTAGAATCGAAATAATATATCCAAATCGGTGATTTTATCGCTTGATAACATCACTGTTTGTCGTTCGGATGCGCATCATTATATCACTCGGGCTACGCCCTCGTGATATAATTCCTCGCATCCAAACTCCAAACAGTGATGTTATTGAGCGATAAAATCACTGTTTGGGATATATCATTTCTTAAATATACATTCTAACACGACCCGCATTTTTCCCTATTGAACATAGAAGAACAGAAAGTGTGTGTTATTATGCAACAGATGCACAGTTTGACGTTCTATATTTAGACATGTGACGTAATCATTATACACTTGACGTAACCACTAAAAATCCGACGCGCTGAAAATAAGTACGGAAACAAATCAGGCGCAATTTTGCTTAACTATCAAGTAACGCAACATTTATTTGTTGATGTCGTGTTAGAATCGAAATAATATATCCAAATCAGTGATTTTATCGCTTGATAACATCACTGTTTGTCGTTCGGATGCGCATCATTATATCACTGTTTGGGATATATTATTTCTTAAAGAAAACATAGAGACATTGTAATGATATATATAGTGTCTAAAGTGAAGTTTATATGATCAAAAGTACTCACTACTTATTTGCTCACTAAGGAGAAATTTTGGCTATTGCTAGTATAAATCATGCTAATGAACGCTACGGTAAAACAAACTATTAGCTTTTACAAGTATAAGATTTGGTATTCAAATTTTGATGAAAAATCATAGATGTGGTTTTTTTTTTACTCACCATCTTCATTTTTCATGCTCTAAAAAAGAAGAAAATACATTTAGACCATATAAGGTGTTGAAAAGTTAAGTAGTGGCACACTTGACACACATTTGTCAAAAAATTATTCAAGTATTTCTTCTTCTTTTTTAATCTGCAATCTGTGATCTGAGTCAAAACTCTGCGGTCAGAATCAAAGAGAAATATGAGTAATCTGAGTAAAAAAATTGATCTGAGACAATAACCTGTAATATGAGTCCATAATCTGTGATCTGACTCAAAAATAATCTGTGATCTGCGTCAAAAATAATTTGAAATCTGAGTCAAAAAATAATTTGAAATCTGAGTCAAAAAATAATTTGAAATCTGAGTCAAAAATAATTTGAAATCTGAGTCAAAAATCTGTGATCTGAGTCAAAAATCTGTGACCCTGATCTGAGTAAAACATTAATCTGTAATATGAGTCAATAATCTGTGATCTGAGTAAAAAATAATTTTTGATCTGAGATCTGAGTCATAAATAATATGTCATCTGAGTCAATAATAATTTGTAATCTAAGTCAAAAAATCTGTGATCTGAGTCAAAAATATGTGATCTGGGTCAAACATCTGTGACCTTGATCTGAGTAAATAATATGGATTATGAATCTTCCATAACGAAGATGTCTTTTATTAAAAAATAACACTCCAAATAATTAATTTTTCCAGGCATCAAGAATATTTCATGCTTTATTCACAAAAAAAATATTATTGAATATTATTTTACCGACAGTTTACACTTTTCTAAAGACAACTTGTAAATTAAACAATCATTATCGAAGCACTTATATTTTACCTGTCTGTTAACAAGGTTCTGATAGATTCCATTCTTGCTCATCAATTCAGAGTGAGTTCCCTTTTCTGCAATTACGCCATCTTTAAAACCGGCTATCACATCAGCCGTTTTGATTGTGGATAATCTATGGGCTATTACGATAGTTGTCCTACCATGACTCGCCTGAAATAATTATATTTAACATTTTTTTTACTATACTGTAATAATCAAATAAAATGGTTAACTTAATAAATACTAGTACATGTTATTGTTACTTTAAACTATTATTACATATCACGAAAAGGGTTTTATTTCTCGTACAGAATTTTATCCAGATAGATTTTAACTAGTGCGCAGTAATGATATGTTACTAGCTACACATCGGTATGGTGATAATATTCCTGCGCATTTTAAATGGAACCGTAAATTATTCTTTAACAATACACTCAAAATTTACATAAATTTCCTAATTAAAGAATGGATTTTAATTATACTTTTTCCAGGGCCTCCTGTACAACTCCTTCACTTTCTGTGTCCAGGGCAGATGTGGCTTCATCCAGTAATAATATTTTGGGGTCACGCACGAGGGCACGTGCGATAGCAATTCTTTGTTTTTGTCCCCCACTAAGTTGTGCTCCTCTTTCACCAACCATCGTATCATATTTCTGTAAAAATGGTAATACTCGTAAGTTGAACGACATTTGCCAAATCTTGCAAATTTGCAGAAATGTAGGAAATAAAGGAAGAAATAAAAGTTTGAAATTTTTCGCAATGACTCAATACAACTTAATAAAAATAAATCCCATATTTACATCAAAAAAAACCTCTATATATTTAAAACTATGTATAAAGGACACAATATATATCAAAGCTATTAAAGAAAACATTTGAGCTTACATCTGGGAGAGCCGTGATAAAATCGTGAGCGTTCGCCATCTTTGTGGCCTCCTCTATTTCCGCCTGTGAGACTTCTTCCCGGCCATACCGGATGTTCTCCCCGATTGTCGTACCAAACAGCACTGGTTCCTGGCTTACTATACCTATATGCTCCCGCCACCATTTTATATTTATGTCCTTCAGGTCTGTACCATCAATCTTAATCTAAAGGTCAGAAAATAAATTTATAATATGAGCCGCGTCACGACAAAACCAACATAATGGGTTTGCGACCAGCATGGATCCAGACCAGCCTGCGCATCCGCGCAGTCTGATCAGGATCCATGCTGTTCGCTATCAGTTTCTCTACTTGTTATAGGGTTTATAAGCGAACAGCATGGATCCTGATCAGACTGCGCGGATGCGCAGGCTGGTCTGGATCCATGCTGGTCGCAAAGCCACTATGTTGGTTTTGTCGTGACGCGGCTCATATAAGTAAGTTTAACTCTTTAACTACAGTACAAGTTATGTTTAAATAAAAATGTTTATCTATAATACAAAGCATCTTTAACTATGGTACAAAGAATGTTTAACTCTGGTACAAGGTATGTTTAACTACAGCACAAAGCATGTTTTACTAGAGTTCAAAGTGTTTTACTATTGTACAAAGTATGTTTACCTATAGAACAAAGTATGTTTAATTAACTATATAGAACAAATAATGTGTAACTATGGTAAAAGGTATGTTTTACAATAGTACAAAGTATGCTTAACTATAGTAGAACGTGTGTTACCTACAGTACAAAGTGTGATACTTATAGTACAAAGTGTGATACTCATAGTACAAAGTGTGACATTTGTAGTACAAACAACGTTTAACTTTAGTACAATTAACGTATGTTTAACTATAATGGTACAGAGCGTGTATAACTATGATACAAAGTATGTTAAATTAGGTTATTACTTACAGAGCCTTGCTCAGGATCATAAAATCTTTGTATAAGTTGTACAATGGTGGACTTGCCGCATCCACTTGACCCCACCAAGGCCACAGTTTGACCTCTATTAATGTCAAGGTTAACACCTTGCAAAATCTGAAATCAAAGAATTAAAAAAAAAAACAAGATTAAGAATATTCGCCAATCAGATGTATGGAATTTTAAACTTTTGACTCTTTTCTGAATGGCACTGTAATGGTCATATGTATGGGCGACTTCCCAGCTTTATTCTGGTGGAGAAAGACTTCAGGTGCCACTCCAATCAGCGAGCACCTGATTAGAACCACCGACGAGCTGGATAGCTTTTTTTACATTAAATAATTCAAAGACCCTGTAAGTTTTCACTCCAACATCGGTCAGGGGTAAGCGGTGTTGAAGCCACTTGGCCACATATTTGTCAACGATATAATTAACCTACTTCTTTTAAAAGTAATGCACACAAATCCTAATTATTTGATTTCAGGCAGATATATATAGTTTTTGCTATGTCCTGTTCTACTAAAAGGTTTGTATTTAGATGTTTCAAGGCACATTATGCCCTTTCTTAGAAAGGGCAAATTGTTTAAATAATGATTTTAGATAATTTAAGATGCTCATTTCCCGAAGTAAGTAGCGATAAATGTGACATGATTTGTACCCGAAGTAGTAAAATGTAAACAAAGTAGTATTTTGACTTCCATACAAAATAATAATTCACTATAACTGTACTTATAGCTAAAAATAACAACGGAAGAGAAAAATGGTTGATGTAAATGACCAATGAGTAACCTTTTGAAAACTATATACGTACACAAAAAATAAAAAGCTTTATAGAAATTAATGAAATAAAAGTATTTCTGGGACATTATGGGCCTTTAAGATACACATCAGGTTTGAGATATGTTATGTATTTACTTCTGCATCTAGTCTATATGGACCACACCTGAGAAATAAACAAATGAACCGTGTCATGACAAAACCAACATAGTGCGTTTGCGACCAGCATGGATCCAGACAAGCCTGCTCATCCGCGCAGTCTGATCAGGATCCATGCTGGTCGCAAACCCACAATATTGGTTTTGTCATGACGCGGCTCAAATAACCATTGTATATCTTTACATGTACCTACCGCTGTATCGGGTCTAGATGGATACTTAAAATGCACATCTTGTATCGAAATGCTTCCTTGAAAATTCTCCAACTTCTTGCCTTTCTTTGAGTAACTATCAATCGGTGGATCCTTTGATAGAGAGAAAAAAATATATTTAAAAAACATTGCTTATAAAGTAACATTAAGTATTTCAAACACAAAAAGCTAGTCTGTTTAACCATTCAATTGACTGCTTCAAAGCCTACGATCGTTTCTGAAAACACACTGGCCCAGAACGATGTATGTTTGTTTAAATATCTACTGATACAATAAAAAATGTAAAGAGAGTCCTCTTTTTGTTTGTTTTATAATTCATCTGTTTGGTGTTTCAACAAATGACAAGAAAGGCTACTCTGTATGTATTTAGAAAATAAATAGCAAGATTACTTCCCTTGACTTTCGGAAAGCTTAAAGGAGCACGCCTCATGAATTATGATAATTTTCATGAAAAGTTTGAAATGTGAAATAACCAAAAGGACACAATTAACCCATTACAAACAGCAATCGTAACCGACGTAAAATAGCACAATGAGGTCACAGTATTCAAAAATAGCCTTTCCTGAGTTTGTAACACTGAAGAAAGCCGTAATTAATATTGCAAAATCAATCATTAATCGCATATAACATGTAAATTATTACTTACATCTCGATTTTTTTACTTTTCCTAAAATCTAAGTACATTATTCTCAGGTTTGATCTTACTGAAATAGTTTGGCTCACGGAGGCATGCAGCTTTAATGGTAAAAGTCTTTATTTGGTAAAAAAAAGCTTCAAAAATGATACATTAAAGGCATATTGTGCCTCAGAAATCCATATTTTTTTAATTCTTTAGAAATGTCAAGCATGCGTTTAATAATGTTTTAACAATGAATTTTGAGCATATTGGATATCAAACAGCTGAAGAAAGTTGCGCTGAATGTGTGTTGTAAAGGTAGCAAAATGTTAACAAAATAGTGTTTTGACTTCCATACAAAATACTCATTCACTATGATTATACCCATTGTCAATTGAGCAAAAGATGTATAGAATGCAGTTCATCTATGTGGCAAATGGGTGTTGTTTTTTTTAAACTGTAACGAGATATCAAAAATAAAAAGGTTTTCGCAAAATGAAAATGATAGCATTCCTGAGTCATAATGGGCCTTTAATGAGATAAGTGTTCAAATATGTATGATTGTTAAAATATTTACCAGCTCTATAAGCCCATATACGATGTAAGCTGCTCCTCTAGCTACCGCCAGACTCTGGAGGGGAGGGGCCGCGTTCCCCAGGGAGAAAGCACCAATTAATACAGCAAAGAACACCTACAAAAATATTTTCACACAGCGATTATTAAATATGACACATAATCTTATATAACTTTAGTTGTCATTCAGGAGCATAATAATTACAACCACATGTACATGTATTTTAAAATTAAAACAAAGTATTAACATGAAGTATGAAAACAATGTCTAAAAACAAAGGAATTAATTAAAAATCTTAAAACAAAGTACTAAAACAAAGTCTGTAAACAAAGTCTGATAAAACGCTGAAAACAAAGTCTGTAAACAAAGTCTGTAAACAAAGTCTGAAAAAACTATGAAAACAAAGTCTGATAAAACTATGCAAACAAAGTCTGATAAAACTATGAAAACAAAGTCTGTAAACAAAGTCTGATAAAAATATGAAAACAAAATATCAAAACAAAGTATGAAAACAAAGTATGAAAACAAAGTATGAAAACAAAACAACAGTCATAAAGCTTACAATTAGAACATTGCCAATGGTATAAGTGTCGGGTTCGTCCCTAGACAGTTTCGCACCATACCAGAAACCAAGAGCGTATGCCAGAAACAATATCATCCACACAACCCCCATAGAGACTCCATTCACCAAACCTTTCTTAATGCCTTGACTCTTCGCCTCAACCAGGTTGTTCTCGTATCTAATAAGTAATAGCAAAAACATATTATGAGAGGCTAGCCTCGTATCTAAATAGTTATAGCAAACATATTATGAGAGGTTAGCCTCGTCTCTAAATAGTTATAGCAAACCTATTATAAGAGGTTAGCCTCGTATCTAAATAGTTATAGCAAACATATTATAAGAGGTTAGCCTCGTATCTAAATAGTTATAGCAAAAATATTATGAGAGGATAGCCTCGTATCTAAATAGTGATAGCAAACATATTATGAGAGGATAGCCTCGTATCTAAATAGTAATAGCAAAAATATTATGATAGCTTAGTCTTGTATCTAAATAGTAATAGCAAAATTATTAAGACAGGTTAGCCTCGTATCTAAATAGTAATAGCAATATTATCATGAGAGTTAGCCTCGAATTTAAATAGTAATAGCAAAATTATTAAAACAGGTTAGCCTCGTATCTAAATAGTTACAGCAAAATATTTTGAGAGGTTAAGCCTTGTATCTAAAT